CGTGATGGAGCCATTAGTGTTGAAGAGGGTGGCCAAGTCAAGTTTCAGACTTTCCTTCAGCCTAACCCATTTCTTGGGCTTTGAAGTCAGCGAAATGGTCATACTTGCTGTTCTGATGTCAGCATTTCCTGCAAACAGGAGACGAGGGGTCAGTTAGATTAATAGTCCAAACGTGTTTATGGATTCGTTTACATCTACAGGCAACTATGGGACTTTCACAGAAGGAATTTGTTCTGCTTGCTGTACATCCATTAAAATGAAAAATGATACGGTGGGCCCAAAAAGCATTTGGATGCTTATGCCACACTTAAAAGTGAATGAATGTCATTGCATTCAAAATGTCAAACCAAGTGTTATCTGTGCTGCTAGAGCTTTTCTCAGAACTTACTTCAGAACTAAGCCATTGTTACAAAAAAGTGTTTAAGCAACTGGCGTCAGTTTGATTTTCAGTGGATGTATGAAGTCACTTCTCCTCAAGTTCACACAGATGAACACTGATGTTAGACAACCAGAAAGTGTCCAAACAATTTTGAACATTATATCTATTGTTTTCATCATTGCATGAGCCTGTGAAATCGCTGGATGAGTGCAGTTTTCTTTCCTATGTTGACATTTGTCTTTGGAAAAAGGACATATCTAAGAGCTCATGCAATTTTAATAGTCAACGTCATTTAGTTTACATCACAACTGTGAAAATTGAGCTATTGCTAGTCGGAAGTGGTTGCATTAGGGGGAGGGGCTTTCTCATTCTACAGAGTATTTGATTGGACAAAAAAAATTGTAGCGCAAGATGAGTCATCAATTGGCCTACACCTGGTCTGTTTTTGTCATATTAGATTTTAAAGGGATTTTGTCAGTGTTTAGAAGTACAAGATGCCATTAGAGCTAAAGACATGGTGTAAAGGCCACAAAACTTGAATTTTGATGACTTGAGGGCTTTTCACACTTGAAATCGTTCTAAATGGTTCTAATTCTAAACCCCGGGCAAATAGAATCCTGGGTTATTTTACTTCACGTTTCACCCTTTACCCGGGTTTACTAGTTAATCCTGCATATTCATAAATTTAGGAATAACGTTTAACGCTGTACATTCCTAAACAATAGGTTAACGCTCTTATTTAACTAAATCTATTATGGCTGTCGCGAATAAAGAAAAAATGAAATTAAAGTGCTCATGTTGCGTCATATTTCTTTTCAAGCATTTTTACAGGTTTGCTCATTATAACCAATCACACACAATTCTGTTGAGGTTATGAATGCAATGGCCAATCAGAGGCATTCAGATGAGTCATTGCCGAAATGCCGGAGTTTTGTTCAGTGTGCGCGCTCTCTGACTCGTGAATTCTGTCATAAATAACAAAATGAAGATGTGCGTACGAAGTAAGATATTAATAGACAGTGTAGACAGCTTCAGTGATAGACGTAAGTCGGTGATAATGCTCTTTGATAACGTCAATGCTCTTTGCTAACTTATAATTTATTCGCTGTTTGAATAACTGCAAAAATGAAAGTGATATTAGTAATTAACAATGTTTTTATTAAATTATGATCACGTTAAATACAAGTCGAATTAATATTTTATGATATGACACCAAATCTGGTAATTGCCTAAAAAGACGGGTTTATGATGTGCGTAGTTAATAGATTACACTAAGATTAGGCAACTTTCAGCCTTATTATATGCTGTGCTTCTAGAGATTGATACATGACAGTTAAAAATAACTTGAAGTAATCCTGAAAGTACGTTAAGATCAGTGTTGGGAAGGTTACTTTGTAAATGTAATAGGTTACTGATTACAAGTTACCTATTTAAAATGCAAGAAGTAGTGTAACTGTTTCAGTTACTTTATTAAAGTAATGTAACTGATTAACATTTGATTACTTCTGATTATTTTTCTAAATTTCTAACTGACAGCTTTCAGTTGTCAAACATTTAAAGCAGGCAGGTTTAACCTTACAGTAGGACTCAACACTGATTACTGTCAGACTTTCAAAATCCTTCTTCACTTGAATTAAGATTAATAATAATTTCATTTTTAAGCACAGCCACCACAAAATCAGACTTGAGCACCTCTATATTTTTAGATCGTTCTGAGGTTAAATACAGATTTAAAATCGTAACAAGAAATAGTAAATATTATTACAAGAAATATTCAGATGTAACCCCTTTTGTAATCCTTAACATTTTCATAAGTAACTGTAACAACGCATTTTTTTCTCAGTAACTGTAATGGATTAGTTACATTTGTTTTGTAATGCCGTTACATGTAACTAGTTACTCCTTAACACTGGTTAAGATAAATTTTAAAGTATGCCCCCTAAAATCAAAAGTGGCCCCTGCCCCCTCCCCCCAGTTACTGTGGTCTAGAACCGCCACTGTCTCCGAATGCTTTCTGCATGTGTCATTTCAGTGATACGATTAATGATCAGTGCATTTCGGTCATTTTAACTCCAGAAAAACAGTTTTGCACGTTAAATACTTTAGTGAATCAGTCCTGTTGAGAAGGGGTCACTGCTCGGTTTTCAAAGAAAAGCTGATTGGAGGTAGAGATCTAGAAGAAGACGTTCTTTGTGCAAACATGCTAGGCAAGCGCGTCTCATGCCGTCTATTTTGCTGTGCATCTTCAGCTTTCCCACGACAGCAGAGAGAGACAGTGTGAGGGGCTTTCATAACCTCTCTCACATGGTGGCCCGCCCCGCTGCGCTCAGCTGAACGTCTAGACTCACACAATGTGGACTCTGTTGGGACCAGTTCTGAAACCATGTCAGACATCAGACCCAGGGTTACATTAAATCGTGCATAAATAAGGAAATATCTACAATTATTCTTATGCTGTTTGCTACATGAGCATGATGCACTTATTCTTTAAATTCCATATAGAAATTCCATATATCAGCATTTGAATTTTCAAAGAAGAGTTCCCACACTTTTTGACCAATGGATTTGCATGATTGTTTCATAAGTAGTTTATGAGTACTGGATAAGGATTTTTTTAAATCATTCAAATTCATATCAATGAGTCATTAAAACAAATTTGTGAACTCGACTGATTATTTGAAATGACTCAAAGAATGACTCACTTACAAATCAGACATCTCTATGGCTTGCTTGCAAGCAATTTTCACCCTACTCGAGATGAATATTTATCCAAAGAAATATTTGACACAATAAATTTTATTTTTTATGACTTTGTCATGGGATAATGGACAGCTTAGGACTAGTATTCACACCACAGAGTTTGCTTCACATTATAGATATTATTTGATAAATACTACTTTTTTGGACACAAAAACCAAAACTTCCTTGGATTGTTTCCAAAAAGAAAGAAAGAAATCGAATTCATAAATTCAAAATATTCAAGTGACATTTTATTTGATTTAAGGAATCCTAATGTAAACAACTGAATGAAATTTAATTAAAATGTATGACAAACCCCAGGATGATCTGTTTTCATGGTTCTGCTTTTTCATAGAAGGATCTCATAAACACAAGAAGAAAAACAAAACAATTCAACGAATTAAGTGGGACTGAACTAAAAAAGCCCAGCAGTCCGACTGTAATGTACAATTAATAAAAGTGTCCTAAAGTGATTTTGATTTCATTTTTGTCTCGTGTATCACATTCAGTTCCGTTTTCTTCATATTTCATATTACTGTACAAACATTGCACTTCTAATACTGCTCGTTCCCTTTAGACGTTTTGGTTAAAGTACATTTGAATACTGTGGTTGACCAGAAAACTCTAGACAAGCGTTGTTTGATATCCTGGGCTGCCAAATTCATTTAACCCAGCTATGAGAAGAACATATGCTAAACATATTCAGGAATGGTTTTAAAGTAACATTCTATAAAAGTGTATCTGAACAGACAAAGTATGTTTCAAAACTAGATGGAAAACCATCTACGTCTCAGGACATTACAAACACAAGCCATGCACATGTTTTCTGAAACAGACATTGCACATTGTATTCTGGATTTAGACACAAACAAACACCCTATTTGTCAAAAAAATAAACTATTATTTTGGCATTTCAGAAATAAGAGACAATATTTTCCATCCGAAAATACAAAGGTTGGACACAAGCGGTCACATTCTCAAACCTAAACAATGTATATAAATAAAAACATACGATAGGCTCTCGATTATTAAGTTAATAAATCAAATATACACGATGATTACTTAGAAAATATGTACAAAGTCATCTATACAACAACATCAAAACTGACAGTGAACTTCTTCATATAGATAGTAAATTCTAAGCATGACCTGTCTGCCTGTACACATGTAAAAAAAAAAGAAAAAAAAAAAAAAGAGCAGAACTGCTAGAAAGAGTGGGCAAATAAAATCCAGTCAAGAAGTTAAATACAATCTTCGAGCACGTGATACACCAGTCATTATTGATTTTTGGAAATGATTCACAAGCTATTTCTGGTGCATTAAGTTCTACATTATAAACACTGAACACAATCTGCACATGCAGTTCAGTTCAACAATTGGATGAAACTCACAAAACCCTCAAGAACATTTCCATGTCTAATTTCATCCCAAAATATATTTTTTACAACCTTTGCTTAGCACTATAAAAGTTTTATGCAATACAAAAAAAAAGAAGGCATCATTCATACAATTTTAATTATATAGTATCCTGATTTGCATTAAAAAAAATCTTAGTATTACAGTATTTGTACTGTATATAAATGCAGTATTTCACTTGTGGATGGAAAAGGTGCTTAAAGGGACAGTTCGCCAAAAAATGAAAAATCGGTCATCATTTTTCAGCCTCAAGTTCAGAACCTGTATGAGTTTCTTTCTTCTTATGAACACAAGATGAGATATTTTGTAGATTGTGTGTAACTAAACAGTTGACGGTACCCATTGACTTCCATATTATTTTTTTCCATACCATGGAAGTCAATGGCTACCGTCAACTGTTTGGTTACCAACATTCTTCAAATTATTTTCTATTGTGTTCAACAGAAGAATGGAACTCGTACAGGTTTGGAACAACTTGAGGCTGAGTAAACGATGACAGAAATTTCATTTTTGGGTGAACTATGCCTGTAATTGTCATTCAAATGTCAACAATGTCTATGAATTCAGGGTGAAATTTGACCTGGACATGTTTTGGTGAGATTCACACAATTAGCAGATTTTGGCCAATTACTGTACATTCTGATTTAGGCTAGAAGTTCAGTACAGGTTAACATCTTCAGGCCCTTCAGACGCCATAAAACGGACCAGCCCGTGGTCCATCCGCAACATCTGAACAAACACTGTCCGGCCTTGTCGTGACAGTCGACAGTCAGCACTCTGATTCCGAAAGATGTCTTCATTCGCTTGACCTTTCGTGACATCGCGCAGCAATGATTGTTACCACGCCGAGCATCGGCCACTATACAATATACTCCATATTGTGCAAGCTGTGTTGTGCATCCAGATCTCTTGGCTGTGCATCCGGAGCTCTGTGCTGCGACTCCAGGTCTCTGTTGTCTCGTTTATTAGTCCAGTGAGGATTTTTGACATCCGTGCCGTTGGAGCTCAGCCTGTCATCCCTGTCCACCAGCATGTAGGCCGGCTGACGTGGAAAGCGTGCCTTCTGCAGATGCTTGCTGGAGTCTTCTTGCGCTAGTCTGGCGGGTTCGGAGAAATGCGTCCTGATTTTGGCGTTGACGCTGTTCTTGTCGTCGCAGTGCAGCTCTTTTCCCGGCAGGCTGCCGTTGGACGCGTTCTTCTCGATGTGGTTCTTGATCTGGTTGAGCTGCTCGCGGGCGTTGTTCACCGTGTTGTCTTCTATGCTTCCCGTGGAGTAGGGGGCGGCGGGGCTGATGGCGGTGGGGCTGGAGCTTTGTTTGCGTCGATGCCGCACGCACCACAGGAACACCGACGCCAGCGCCAAAACCCAGATCGCCGTCACTATGGACACCAACAGTGGCACCAAGTAGTCTACTGAACGAGAGAACCAATGAAAACAGATTAATAAAAACAAGCTGGCAAAATATTACATCCCTTCATTGTGCATTTTTCATTTTATTATATTTGATATGTGTTAATAAAACTGAATAGTCTTGTGTTGTAGCTGAATAGAATTTTTTATTTATTTATATATGAATAATTATTCATATTATATATGAAGGTTTGGGGTTGGGAAAAGCCTCTTATGCTCACCAAAGCTACAAGTATCTGACTAAAAATTCAGTAAAAACAGTACAATTTTGAAATATTTTGAAAAATTTAAATGAACCGTTTTCTATTTGAATATATTTTAAAATATAATTTATTCCTGTGATGCAAAGCTGAATTTTCAGCTTCATTACTCCAGTCTTTAGTGTCACATGATCCTTCCGAAATCATTCTAGTATGCTGAAACCAGAGGTGTAAAGAGTACCTAAAAACCATACTCGAGTAAAAGTACAGATACCTTACAGTGTAAATTACTCCACTACGCATTACAAGTCACCAATTCCAAAACAACTTGAGTAAAAGTCTTAGAGTATCTGACTTTAACAGTACTTAAGTATTTTACTTATACTAAACATAGGCTCAAAGATGTACTAGTCAAAGAGACATGCCAGTGAAAACTTGTAACGTTGTGGAAAAGCTGGGGAAAACAGGCAGAGGCAAGGATCTATGTGCTGGTATTTCATGGAAAAACTAGAACAAACAAAAAGCTAAAAACCAAAGGGAACAAAGAACAGAATGACTGGCAAACAGACAACCATTACATTCAACAACTCACAAGGAACTAAAGAAAATTAGGGCTATATATACACAAAGGGTGCTAACAAGCTTAACAAGATAAGACACACCTGGGGAGACTAATCAAGGGGAACCAATGAACAAACCTTGTAATAGGCAGTATCACATCTTTTGTAGCAGAAATAAACTGCTGCAGAAAAAGCTAGGTCCATGCAAAATGTAATGTGTAACGGCAAGACTCGTTTCAAATGTAGTGGAGTAAAGAGTACAGATACTCATTCAAAAATGTAGTGAAGTAGAGAGTAAAAGTTGCTAATATCTTTGATACTCCATACAACTACAAAGTATCCGAAAAGATACTCAAGTACAGTAACTAATTACATTTACTCCAATACTTTACACCTCTGGCTGAAACATTTCTTGTTATTATCAATATTGAAAACAGTTGTGCTGCGGAAATCATTTTTCAAGATTCTTCAAGTTCAGAACAGCATTTATTTGCAATTGAAGTCTTTTGAACATTATAAATGTCTTTACTTTCACTTTTGAACAATTTAATGCATCCGTGCTGAATAAAAGTATTATTTAAAAAAAAAATTAAAAAAAAAAACTCACTAACCCCAAACTTTTGATTGATAGTATATATCTCAATTAGTGCTGTCAAACGATTAATCGTGATTAATCGCATCCAAAAATAAAAGTTTTTGTTTACATAATATATGTGTGT